GTAGAAGGTCAGGTCAGAGGGCCAATGTTCAAAACTCTTGAGGACTCCGAAAGAAGAAGAATATCCCAAGATTCCAGATCAGTCCCTCATGTCACTCCATTCATGCATAAAGACCACCCTTGTAAGCCCTTCACACTCAACAAGGACATGGGATTAGAGGTGCCTGCGGCTAGTTGGGTCTCGCCCATTCAAAGGGGGAGAAAATAAATAAATAAATTGTACTGTAAGTTTTCGCATTCATAAATTAATGTTCCCCTTTGGCTCTTTCCTTTGCCCTTTATGACTTCCCTTCTCCTCTCCCAGATCCCCAAAGAAAGTCCTATTGTCTGTGAAAAGGCTTGACAGCTCCCATATATTAACGAGGAATGACACATCCAGCCATTTTTCAGCCGAAACGCTGTCATATGTCAAAAGTATGTGGGCAAAAAAGAAAAAACCCGCTTCAGCTTTGAACGTGGAGATTCTCCTTATGCATCGTTTCCCGAGAAGGCAAGTTGTGCAAAATAAAACGCAACTTCTTGGGAGATCTTATTTTCCCAAACTTGGTTTTTTTAAAAAAAGAAACGGTTATGGAATTGGAAGTGTCTCCCTCTTTAGAACCACTGAAGTCCATGGGACATAAATTACTCATGATTGACTTGTACAATGGGCTTTAATGAGACTAAACCATGCCTTAATTGGGTTCCAGTCCATTTTTATTAAGCTCAAATGAGTTCAAGATAGTGTCATATACATTGGTGGGGGGGAGGATTTGGTTTGAGATTAATGAGTCCTACCACACCCCAGTTCATTAAGATTTCAAACTCTCCCCAATGGAGACAAAATCCAGAATGTTTTTTCCCCTTTTCTTCTTTCTGACTTGCAGTGATGTGTTTGCAACAGGCAGGAATTTAACAGATTTAATTTATTCAGTGTAGGCACCACCCAAAACCAAGTGCACTCTGGGCAGTGTACATTAAAACCAAATCAAATAGGAAACACAATATAACTAACATTAGACTAAAACAGTGGTTCCCAAACTTGGCAACTTTAAGACTTGTGGACTTCAACTCAGAGGTGGCTGGAGAATTCTGGGAGTTGAAGTCCACAAGTCTTAAAGTTGCCAAGTTTGGGAACCATTGGACTAAAAGAACCAATGGCCAGTCTGGATAACCGCACTCATAACCCCAATTCTATCCACCCTGTTTTCCCAAAAATAAGACCTCCCCAGATAATAAGCCCAATCGGGCTTTTGAGCGCATGCACTGAAATAAACCCTCCCCAAAAAATAAGCCCTCCCCTAAAATATTTATACGCATGTGCAGCCAGTCCCTGCCATTTCCTGATGGGGGAAAGGGGGCACATCCCCCTCATGCAACTGCCATCCACGTGGAACTGCCTCGCAGAGGCCACTCCCACAAATCCTAGCTACCCCTGCGCCTTCTCTTAGTGGCAGCCGCAAAAAGAGCGTCAGGCCAAGCGAAGAGTGTGCCAGAAACGGAGACAGAACTTCCGGCCCTCTCTGGATCAGCTGTTCCGCAGACCATGGGCCAAGGTTAATGGGCCTCCTGCACTTCAAAAATAATAAGACCTACCCGAAATTAAGGCCAAGAGCTTATTTCGGGGGTCAAAAAAAAATAAAACCCTGTCTTATTTTGGGGAAAACACGGTAGCTTATGGCATGAGAGAACTGCCAGATCTTTAAGGTTGTCCTCACAGCCATCATGGTCAGAACCAATTGCAATGAAAGGTAACATCACTTCAGAGAGAAGACACACTTTTTGTATCCCAATAGAAACAGCAATAGCACTTAGACTTGTATAGCACCTCATAGTGCTTTACAACACACTCTGGCTGGTTTACAATGTCAGCGTTTTGCTCCCCAACAATCTGGGTCCTCATTTTACTGACCTCAGAAAGATGGAAGACTGAGTCAACCTTGAGCATGTCAGGATTGAACTCCAAGCTGTGGGCAGAGTTAGTCAGCAGTGCTACATTCTGATCACTGGGCCATCAGGGCTCTTCAGCAAAGGACCCTGTTTAATTGAAAGGACCCAGAGTGGACCAACCTTCTTGGCTCATACCTGTAAAGCAACACCATGGAAGATAGATAGGGGGCTCATCAGATAACCAGGCCCTATGCTTTATAGGTCATAACCAGCGTCTCAAATACTGGTAACCAGTAGGGACAAGGTGGCTCAGTGGCTAAGACGCTGAGCTTGTCAATCAGAAAGGTTGGCAGTTTGGTGGTTTGAATCCCTAGCGCCCCGTAATGGAGTGAGCTCCCGTTAGTTGTCCCAGCTTCTCCCAACCTAGCAGTTAGAAAGCATGTAAAAATGTAAATAGAAAAATAGGTATCACCTTTGGTGGGAAGGAAACAACATTCCGTGAGCCTTTGGTGTTTAGTTATGCTGGCCACATGAGCACGGAGACATCTTCGGACAGCGCTGTCTCTTCACCTTTGTAAAGGAGATGAGCACCAACCCCTAGAGTCAGGAACGACTAACACACATGTGCGAGGGGAACATTTATCTTTAATCAGTAGGGTTTGCATAACAGAAGTGTCACATAAGCTTGCTGAGGCATGCTCATCACTACCCATGCCACTCTGGACCAGACAGTAACGGAGGGAACCTTATCAAGGAAAGGTCCAACTTAAAGCTAAGAAGAAAGACCTGGGAGCAGTGGTGAAATTCAATTTTTTGTAACTGGCCTCCTGCCAGTTACCTCCCAAAGACCTATTAGATCCCACAGATTAGGCCTCCTCCGAATTCCATCTGCCGGCCAATGTCGGCTGGCGACTCCTCGGGGGAGGGCCTTCTCTGTGACTGCTCCAGCCCATGGAGATCCGGACCCTTACTACCCTTCCGGCCTTCTGCAAAGCGGTTAAGACCTGGCTGTTCCGGCAGGCCTGGGGCTGTTGAACTATCCAGCCCCATCCGAGGTTATGGCTGTTGTAGAATTTTAAATTGTTGTTTTTATTTTATTTTTTGTATCCCCTCCCTGTTTTATTGTGAGCCGCCCTGAGTCTCTCGGGAATAGGGTTGCATACAAACTCAGTAAATTGAATTGAATTGAATTGATAAAATACTCAGACATAAACTGAGCAATCTGATACATGCAGTACAATGCAGCGAGCTAGGCACAGCTCTGTACATTGGGGAAACAAAACAACCACTTTATAAATGCATGGCACAACATAGGAGACATGGCACAAAACCATCAGGACAAGATTCAACATTCCATCTGCATTTAAAAGATAAAGGCCACTCTTTTGAAGGTAGCAAAGTCCGCATTTTGGACAGGGGTCAAAGAGGCCATCTATGTTCACAATTGAACAGTCCTCTCAACAGAGGGGGAGGGATATGATATCATCTATCTCTAATCTACAACACAGTTCTCTCCAGTTCCAAGAAGGCTCCACATAATTTGCACCACTGAGGTGATCTTGATGACACAGATAAATCTCCAGGTGGCCTTAACAACTTGCTAAAATAATGCAAATGACCAGCTGTCTGCAAGGGAATATAAATCCTTCCATTCTCCACCATCCAGTCAGTGTTGAAGAAACTTCTTGGATGAGGAGCAGCACATCTTCCAAAAAAAAAAAAAAAACCCCAGAAAGTCCAGTTGCCTCTTTAAAAGCACCTTTGGAACTATCGAAACATTTTTGCTATGTAACTCTTCCAAACTCTCAGGATAGCAAGACCAACAAATTGATTCTTAAAATCTTAAAATTAACTTTAACTTTATCATATCTTAAACAGCCGTGCTAGGGATATCCTTTCCATAATTTGTGTTGGATGTGCTATAGTGCATTGAGTGATTAGGAACTCTTGATAAAGTTGCATGAGTATTCATTTTGTTGGAAGATGTTATATAGGTTGTCTGTTTCATTTTTCGAATGTCCAGGTTGTTGCAGTGTGTTTATTTACATCAGAATAATGTTCTTGCATGGCTCCTGTGGAGTTATGCTGTTACTTTGGTAATGGAGCACTTGCTTACTTGCCTTTTTTTTTTTTTGACAAACTTGTGTTTCTAATTTGCTGTTTCTTCTGATGAAGAAAAGGATATTCAGACAGGATAGTGGGATATTGTTTTCATGTTTCCTTGTGAATTTTATTCCTCTGAGTATGTTAATTTATTGTTTTTATGTTACATCATTAGTGTTTCTTTTTTATTATGGTGAAGGTGTCAGCTACATACTGAACCATACTTTTGATTTTATATGTGAGAGTGCTATAGTTTTTAGATGTTGCATTATGATCTCTGCTATGATTCCTGAGAATGATAATCTCATGGGTGTTCCTCTGATTTGTTGGTATATTTGTCCATCAACTGCAAATAGGTAGGGGGGAGGAGGAGATTGATAATGTTCATGATTCTAGATATTTTAGTCTTAATGAATTTGGCTAGGTTATGTAGTACTGCTGTCTCTGATTAGTTCTGAATCAATGGATGTAAAGTGTGTTGTGACATTGAATGAAACCATAATTTAATTTTCTTCTTTTTTTAGAACTTTAATTATCTGGAGATAGTGTAGTGGGGGTGGGGGTGGGGGTAGTATATTCACTTTCTTCTGTGCAGTGTTCAAATGCCTTTAAGTTTTTGGCTATCTTGTATGTTGGGGTCTTTGGTAATGATACAGTTAGACAAGAGATATGTCAGTCTTCTATTTTTGAGTGTCCATAGAAGCTTGGGAGGATGAGTCCACTAATTTTACCCACCACTTGAATTGATCTTTCTTGATTATAGTGTTCCTCGTCTCTTGAGGGGATATCTAGATTTTGTAATGGATTGTGTTTAATGAGATGAAGGTTTCTTTGTCTTCTAGTAATTCTTTGACTTTTGTGTAAATTATGTTCTGCCCGTCATAGCCATGGTTTGATTTTTGCAAGCAAACAACCAAGGACTCCACAGTTCATCCCTAAGTTACTCTTTTCTGTTGAATGTAGAGTGTCTAACCTGTCTTAAATTAGTACTCCTATATTAGTTCTAATATTTTTCTGCTTTTCTTTTAGATTTATCTTTGTGGCTTTAGTGCCAGAAAATTAGATAAAATGAAAAAGCTGATTAACTCTGGTGGTGCTGTTCGTTTTAATCAACTAAATGAAGATGTGACACATGTTATTGTGGGGGATTGTGATGATGAATTAAAACAATTTTTGAAGAAAACAGAACACAGGTATTGATAACTAGTTTTAAGATTTACTGGCATTTTTTAAAACTAAAATTTTGGTAAATATTCAGCATGTTAAAACAGTTTATTGCAATTTTTATCATTTTCTCAAGAGTGGTGAGGATATTTAATAATTTAAAAAAAATTCTGGAATGAAATATTTAAAACCGGGTATGTGGACTGTACATATTTGAATCATTGGTTTGTAGCTTTAAAGCATACACACACACACACACACACACTTTATTTATTTATTTATTTATTTATTTATTTATTTATTTATTTATTTATTTATTCTTGGTCCAGTAACGAATGCCGAGACAAGCTTAACTGGAATTTCACAGCACTTTATTAGCAAGAAACCAAAACCTTGGTGGCTGAAAGCCAAGCATAACAAACAGATAAGGACCTTGGCAGCAACTCAGACAAACCTTGGCAGTAAGGTTGTAACCAGCCTGCCAAGCTAGTTACAAAAGTTTTCCAACTTTTAGTCAATGCGTTGACTTCTGCAAGAGGGGCTTGTGCACAAGC